TAGATTGGGGAGTAATCGGGTGAGCTTTTCTTTAGTGGGGTAATTATAGTGTGAAGTTCAGGGTTGTGCTTCATGCTCCTTTGAAAGGTTCCTCATTTTGCCATTTTGGTAGTCTATGTTTTGAGTTTTAGTTAAATTCAAAGAAATTTGGACTTGAAAACAAGTGTTATTCACCCTCAAGTTGGCCCTAGCTGCCTTCTTCTCCAAGTTGTGAATTTGGAACACGTGGTTGGGACTTGGGATGGTGTGTGTCAATACAACTAGGAGGTGGGACTTGGAATGGTGTTTGACAACACAACTATGGTGTCTGGTGTCAAATACGTTGCTTGTATGCTCCTTCCCTTTTTCAATTGGCTTGTACGGATGGTTTATTTGGAGTTCTCAGGGAGCCTTCTTTCATTTGTCTATGTGCCTGATCTCATATGCTGTCCATTGACCTGCCAGTTTGCATCTGAATGTGATATAGATCCGCAAGTGTGTGACTGGTTTGTAATAAAGCAGGAGTACTTGAACCAAGTAATGGAATGAGCAAAGAGGCAGTGTTTGTGAGAAAGTTCAAGGACTCAGTGTGCCTCATAAGTATCAATGCAAATTATAGAAAAAAGATATTCACGCTTGTACAAGTACAATATATATCTTTTGTGAAAGTAGTACATTTTTAAAATAAAGAGCATGTTCTGCTTCTTGTAGTGATGAGGCACATTAAACACTAACACAAAAGTTACATAAAGCTTGCAAGATAGAAGGAGCCTAATGTTTATATAGCTTGACATTTTACAGCCCAAAATCTTCCCTACTTGCAACCAAATTGGCTAAACCATAGTAACCGGGAACGGGAACGGGAACGGAAACGTGAGAAGTTTCAAGAACGAGAAAGGGAGCGCGGAGTGAGTCTAGTTTGAAGTTCCTTGGGTAGTGGACTAGCTCTGTACATGGCTTGGAGATGGGAGTGAGTTCCATGACTTCTACGGAGCGTATTGCTATCTAGACGGGAGTGGGTTCCCAACCAAAAGGGATCACGTTGTGCCGTTCTTAGGATCGAGGTTTCCTGAGTTCACTATTTCCTTTTATTGTAAACTGGGAGCGAGTTCCATTAGATAGCATGTTTAACTCTTTCCAAATCCAAGGTTCCAAGGTATTAATGTAATAAAAAAGCATGACATTGAGAATGCCTTTGAATTTTTGATGTTGTTGGAGCATGATTTGATACCAAAATTAGCAAACAACAATATTGGGGTTCATTGGAGCATGATTTCATACCGAATTTAGTGAAAAACCTTATTGTGATGCATTGGAGCATGATTTCACACCAAATTTGGTAAACAATATTATTGTGGTATATAGTACACGACTACACCTTAATCATACATTACCCTTCTCTAAACTGGCACTCGATGTTGGGCAAGATTTTGAACCTCCTTCACCTTCAAATCTTGCCCCCCTACTCTAGTTGCATTTTTTTAAAATTGGACACAAGTGTCATTGCAAAATGTGTTGGTCATAGAAACTTTGTGGAGAACAGAATACTAAAAACCAATAAAATAAACTTTGTGGGTGTAGCTTGCTCCCATGGTATAAGATACTCGGTTCATGGTATGATGGAATTGTGGTTCCGAATGATATTGGAACCATGAGCTAGGGAACTCGTTCCCAAATAATATGAATCGAGTTCCCATGCCTTCGGGTACAAGATCCAAATACGCAAGGAGGCGTCTGGAATCGAGATCTAGTTACTCGGAGCGCGGGATCAAGATTCCAGGGCAGAAGTGGACCCTTACATTGGCGCTCCTGGTAACTATGGGCTAAACTATCTACCATTAAGTTGGCGTCCTTGCTTATTTTGTACAGTGCTAGTAAATTGAATTGTGTTCTCTATTTCTTTAATTCTAATTAGCCAAAAGAAGCATCTTGGGATACTGCCTTTTCTAGAACCTATCCATGCCAATTTTACTTTTTAGTAGACCAATTTCACAAAAATGCAACTCTGAACATGGGTCCCTGTTATGTGGAATGAGATGACTGGCTGTATTTAGAAAGTGGCAAAAGAAGTTTTAGGAGAAACTGGAGAGAATAAATAAATTTAGATAAGGAAACTTGATGGTGGAGTAATGAGGTTCGGAAGGCTATTCGTGAAAAACGATTGTATTATAAAACTTGGCAATATAATATAAATGGTCAAAACTTAAAAGAATGTTAAAAATGCTAAGAAAAATGCTAAACAAAGAGTAAATTAGGCCAAACTTAAGGCTCTATACAGTAAATTGGGAACAGGAAAAGGTAAAAAAGATGTCTTCAAATTAGCAACAATGAGAAAGAAAAGTGTAGGGATCTAGGCCATATCAAATGGCATTAAGAGTGAGGATCAAATGGTCTTGGTGAAGGATGAACAAAAGGTGGAGAGTTTATTTTAAAAAATTATTAATTGACAAACACAATGGCAACACAACGAGAGAAGGAACGGTTGGCATAAATGCGGACTGGAGGTCATAGATACATTCGTAAGATTAGGATATCAGAAATTAAATAAGATTTGAAGGGGATGAAGATTAGAAAGACTTTGCTGAGATTGTCCGTCTGTGTACTTCCCTCCCAATCGCTTGGAGACACACACATAGGCTAATCCATATGCAGATGCGTTAGCCAAGCAAGGTGCGAGCTTCAACCCCCCTTAGAGGACTTAGGAAGATTCTTTTTCCTCCTACTTTAGGGGTCGTAGTGGGGCCTAATGGTGTTGTATAGCTTTCCTGAACCCTTAGGGGTTTTGCTTTAGGCCCCTTTCAATTTGTATTTACAGAGTATTGGTACTTCCTTATTTTATTAATACAATAGTCATTTTACTCAAAAAAAAAAAAGATAGGAAAGACTTTAGGACCAAATGGTATCCCGATAGAGGTTTGGAAGTCCAAGGGGAGGCATTGACTGGCTGACCAACCTGTTCAACGAGGTGTTGAGAGTAAAGAACATGCTAGACGAATGGAGGAAAAGTACTTTGGTTTCTATTTACAAAGACAAAGGAGACATACAAAATTGTGCAAAATATCGAGGGATCAAACTTATGAGCTACACTATGAAGCTGTGGGAGAGAGTGATTGAGTAACGACCAAAGCATGAAATGAGTGTATCAGAAAACCAATTCGATTTTATGTTAGGGAGGTTAACAATTGAGGCTATTTTCCTACTTAATCTATTGATTGAGAAGTTTGGGGCGAAGGGAAAGGATTTCCACGTGGTCTTTACTGATATAGAGAAAGCTTATGATAGAGTACGTCGAGATTTAATTTGGTGGGTGTTTAAAAAGAAATGAGTCTCCTGATACTATATCGACTTGGTAAGCGATTTGTACAAGGGAGCACTAACTAGTGTGCGAGCAACTAGTGGATAGACGGGTGAGTTTTTAGTGACAATAGGTTCACATCAAGGGTCAGCGTTGAGCCTATAGCTCTTTGTCTTAATTGTGGACGACTTAACAAGGCACTTACCAAATGAGGTACCGTGGTGTATGTTGTTTGCTGACATCATGGTTTTGATTGATGAGACCCGAAGCGGGGTCAACACAAAGTTAGAACTTTGGAGGGATGCTCTAGAATCTAAATGTCTTAAAATTTATCGGAATAATACAAAGCATATGAAGTGCAAGTTTAATAATAATAGCAGAGACGAGGAAGTAGTTAAGATTGACGACCCAGAAATACTAAAAAGAGCGCACTTTCGATATCTTTAGTTGATAATCTAGGAAAATGGGGAGATTGAAGAAGATGTCGTACCTAACATAGAACTGGGTGGGCGTAGTGGAGATGTGCAATCAGAGTTTTATGTGATCGCCGCATTGCCAATGATGCTGAAGGGGAAATCTATAGGACAATTTTGAGATCAGCTTTACTTTATGGGGCAGAATGTTGAGCGGTCAAGAAAGAACATACCTATAGGATTGAGTGTAGCTAAGGTGAGGATGTTGAGATGGATGAGTGGCAAAAAAGAAGTGATAGAGTTCGGAGAATAAATACATTTGGGAGAACTTAGGCGTAGCTCCAATAGGCGATAAGATGAGAGAAAATAGATGTACTGGGTTGGCCATGTGCAACGCAAACCTAGTACAACACCTGTTCGAAGGTGCGAGTTGGTTCAAGTGGAAGGCTCAAAAAAGACAAGGAGTAGGTCCAAAAGGACATGGTTGGAAGTAGTGAGAAAAGATATGGGGATGCATGGCCTGATTATGGGTATGGCCTTTGATAGAGCAGAATGGGAGAGCATGATTCGTGCAACTAACCCCAAATAATTGAAAAAAGGCTATATGATGAAGATTATGGTGAATTTCATAAAGACATAATACGTTCTTAGGTCTATGCCATTCTATACATGTTATACTAACATAAACCTTCAAAACTAAGTCAAGTAAAGAGCCCGTTCAACTCTTGCCTCCTTGTCACAAAGCAACCGATTCACTACAATTTTGGCCCATGTGAAAATATATCTGTTTGCCTTTTCTTCTAGCTGCCCATATGGAGCCTAGGGAAGATATTTGCCAGAATTTTCTTTCTGCTTGTTAAACCAAATGTGTGCACGCATTGGACCATCCTTGTTAAACTTGACTCCTTCCCAATTCCCCAACCAATACTCTTAACCTTTTACCATGCCCCAGGTTCCTAATCATTGCATATCTATAGTGGCCCTTCTAGATTTCATGTCTTTAATTAATGAATGTTTAATAGGTGAATACCTCATGTACTTGATGTCATTGCATTTAACATTCTCTTTGTGATACTACATGTGTATGTGTAGTAGTATGGACATTTTGATGATAAGGTATCCAATGCTATATCCCTGCAGGTTTACCATTTTAGTATCTATAATAAGATCGACATCTTATGTGCGAAAAGACTAGTGCTTTATCTTTTGCTTCCTATTTATCTCCTGTACTTTTATGTTCTCTAAGGTGGACTGCTCTTTCTTATAATTTGCCATCAGTGTTTGCAACATTTGACTTTTAAACCTTTCTACAGTGCAAATGATGAGGGTGAGGTGGCTTCGTGCATCAAAGACTTGAACTCCCCTAACTTCTACCCGACCATGGTTTCTCTCTGGGTCGGTGACTCCTTTGAAAGGAAGGACAAAGAGAGGGATCTCTTGGCAAAGCTTCTCACTAACCTATGCAAGTCCCAAGAAGGCCTGCTTACTGAAGCCCATCTCATTAAAGGGTAAGCGCTCAAAATATTGTCACTAAAAGATTCGTAACCCAGAAACTCATTGAATTTATATATCATAGTGAATAAACAGAATCATTCTTTTACATGTGAATGCTTTACATGTCCAGTTCTCTTTGGACTTGTTTATTAAAGTTTGGGATTTTGGTGAAAAATCGGCCAAAACTTAAGTTTGAAATAATCTATTTTATGGTTTAAATTCTGTTTCTTTAATTAGATTCATGATTGCGGTGGTCAGATTACGAACCCCACAAATTTTAGATCCAAAATCCTTCTCTAAGATGGATTTTTGGACTGGGACCACATTAATGCATTGAACTTTGCGCATTATTGAAGTATTCGTTCTTCTTTTAACAGGTTTGAGTATGTTTTCTCAACTTTGGAAGATGCTATTTACGATGCTCCGAAGGCACCAGTTTTTCTCGGGCAAATTCTTGTTAAAGTAATTAGAGACCATGTGGTTTCATTGACTCAAGTAGGGTCGCTGATACTTAGAGGAGGTGAGGAGCCAGGGCGACTTGTCCAAGCTGGGCTTGCATCAGAGATTCTTGGTAACGTTCTTGAGATCTTAGGTACTGAAAAGGGAAGCTCCTTGGATGATATTTGTAGAGGGTCCAATTTGAGATTAGAAGATTTTCTCCCTCCAAATTCTATAAAGCCAGGGAAGCTAATTGATTTGATCTTGAAGAAAAATATACAATGTACCCCATGAGGAAAAATTTTTTGTTCTTTCATTTCTTTTCTTTTTTAATCGGTTCCTTGGTGGAGGAAATCTTTCTCTAGATTATTTGCAGTACTGCGGCGTAGCAGAGTGACCTCTTTTGTTCATCTTGGGTCTTATATATTGATCCCCTTTGTTATGTGTTTTTATTCCTCTTTAATAGCTTGTTAATTCAGTGTAGAATGAATATTTAGATGGCCTACTCCTACTGGTTCAGAAGATAATTCCCCAAGTGATGATTTTAGGCTGTATTTTCTATTCTTGAATTCGTGTCACATTTCACAGGGCCTGAGGTCAAGCTTTGCCCGTCGATCTCTCAGATTTCTTTTTACATGCACATTTTGTTCATAAAAGTGCATGCGAAGCATAGCGGCGTTCCCAGTGAGTAGTTTCATATTTCGATTGTTCTTTTGTATAGTTTCAGTATTGGCCCAGTGTGCTTCTCTCTCTCTCTCTCTCATTCATTAGACTGGTTGTTAGCGTGGGGACCTGTTCAAACCCTCACGAGTTGACAGTTTTTTATGCCTTGCGTATTCTCTCTCGCGCTCTCTCATTTATGAGTGTATGCAGCGCTGACCTTTTCTTCATTAAAGTGCATGCGGAGCACAACAACATTCCCGGTGATAATGTTCAGAGTGGTTTTTCTCTCCTGCGATATTGCTTAGGTAATGTTCTTTTCTCCTATGTTGGTCCGTTAGGTTTTGCTATAGCAAATTTGTAGAACTAAGTGTGTTTTGTGATTTGAAGATATTTGTAAGGAGGAATTTGGGGTGTAACTGGATTGAAGGCGATTTTTTGAATGTTATTAAATGGTACAAAAAAGAATTGAAAATCCCTTGGGAGCTCCGATCTTTGTGGTTGTAGGTGATGGACTTGGTAGTTGGTGCTTCGGTTTCGATTTCATTTTCTCATATTTATAGGGAAGCCAATAGTATTGCCGACCTCTTATCTAAAGGAGGTTTCTCTATCCCCTCGCTTTTGATATATGATTCTCTTTTGATATATGATGATGTAATTTTTTTTTGTAGTTATCAATAAAAATAGTAATCTTGGTCAAAAAAAAAAAAAAAAATTGTTTAGAGGGCTTTCGAGGGTGGAGACCTGCTAAAACCCCACACGAGTTGAAAATTTTTTATACCATAGGCACATGCATTCTCTCTCTCTCTCTAATTTGCATAACTCCCCTTTTCTTCATAAACATGCATACGCAAAGCACTACAGCACTCCTAGTGAGATTGTTTTGATTAATTTTTTATTTTAGGTTATCAGTGTCAACCATATATATGGTGGCAATATTTCCATTGAGATTTTTTTATTGGGAGATTTGTTGTTGATGCATATAACAATATTACTAGGGATTTTTATATTATGGGACTATTTATTTTAGTTATTAATTATTTTTAATCATTGGATCCCAATTGGAAATCTAATGGACAAGATTGATTTTGATATCTTTGTACTAAAAGTAAATAGTCTCTTTGTGCATTCTTTCATATTATTATGGAAAAATATACCATGAGATCATTATTTTTCTTTTGGAACAAAGTGGTCATAATTAGTCTTGACAATTGAGTGTGAAATTGGGTGGTTGTGTTTATTTTATTAAATAAATTCAAAGTTTAAAAGATTTTTTTTTGGACTTTGTGACAAATTTAAGTAATCAGGTTTCACGTCAGATGTTTAGAAATACTTGTGATCTTTTTGTATCAAAGGTAAATGTCACATTGTATACAATCCTTATAATTATTAGTAGGGATTGTCTACAAAAGATCATTTATCTTTTGTGTATGGAGGTCAAAATCATTCCTACTCATTAAATGTCAAACTGGATGGCTTGGATGAGTCATCAAGTCTAAGAATAATTTTTTTGGAACTTTGTGTCAATTTAATGACTCTTACAATCACTCATTTTGAAATTTAAGGGACACGAATGATTGTGTATATATTGCATGTTTTGCTTATGGGTGTGGTTTCTATAAGGTTGCAACATTAAACAATTCAATTGGGATGCACCTCCAAATTTTATCATAACATGTAATTTTGATGTAAAAAACTCTTAGGACTATCTAAAAATTTATTTTTATATCTAATTATAAAATTTTAAACTCCAAAAATGGTTAGAATCAAGCAGATCAATAAACATATGAAAATCTTGAAAATAGACGGTCTAAATACTGTGTTGCCAATATCCACTATTTTCGGGACATAAATGTTTTTTTTGTCATATTCATACATCTCAATGTCAAGGTGATCAATTAGAGGGGTTTTCAATATTAAAACAACTTTTTCCGATGAATTTTTGAAGTGCTTCTTTAATTCTACATTGTAAGATTGCAAATTTTACTTTTGGGAATTTTGAACAGCCCTTCATTTTCTTTTTTAGGTAAGATGGGATTTTACTTTAATAATACATGTGAGATTCATATTGAATTGGATGGGAAGCATGAGGATTAAATTAATATAGATAATAACCGATTGAATTTCCTTTACATTGGGTTGTCTACCATGATACATGCAACATACCATTTAAAATGCTGGAGTGCCATCCGATGTCAATAACGGAAAGTTCATGTAAAGCATTTCATGTCAGCCATCTCTTGTTAACAGATCGCTGAAATCACCTTAACAAACTACATAATATTTGTTAACAGATCGCTGAAATCACCTTAACAAACTACATAATATGATACATTTATCGTGATATCTTGTCCTATTATTTCCCTTTACAAGCCCCACGTTACAGTTGGTATTAATTAGAAATATGAGTAGATGTTTTTCTTGGGGTAGCTTAGTGGGGATTACTGGTCCCTATGTGCTTTGAAAAGAGTCAATTTTTGAAAGTGAGTGAGAATGGAGTCCGTGATCTTTTTAATTGGAGCTCAGGTGGTACTACTACCACGACCCAGCCCCATTCTCAGAAATACGAGTAGATGATAACTCGATCATGTAATAGGAGATTATAGGTCAAGTATTCTTTTTAAAGAGCTGTATCTTCCATAGTTCAGAATTGACATCCCCTACATTCTTGATTTGGAGACGCAGCATGTAAAAAGAATAGGGTTTAGGGTCATACTTCTTCCCTCCACTTTAACAGGCATATTAGAAAAGCTCTGACCAGTGAATACTTGTACAAAAGCATTTAAAAATGTCATACAAGCTTTGAGAGTCCATTTGTACATCTCACTTCTAATAAATACATACCAAAAGGAGCTCTTCTTAGTCGCGTTTCCAATTCGAGAGGATGTCTCATGTTCTTTCTATGTATTATTACTATCCGATTTCCATTATACCGTCCTCTGTAGTATCACCTTCCACAGCACCATGTTGTGTTGTGTTGTGCTAGGGTGCCATTTATATCATCATCTATTTCATTTGAGTTCCACTTTTCGGCCATCTTTTGCCATACTATTACCCATTTTATCCATTTTCGACCTTTCCTTTGCATCGGCGCAGATACGGTACCATTTCTACTATCTTCTATTTCATTGACTTCCACTTTTCGCCCATCTTGTGCTATACTATTATCCATGTTCTCCATTTTCCCCATTTCCTTCTGCATTTTCGCCCTTTCTTTTGCTTTGGCCCAGAGTACGGAGTAGAGTACAAGAATGACAAAGGTTGCTCCTATCAAACTGCAAAACCTAAGATAATCAAAATAAGAAATGACCAATGTTGCTCCTAACCAAACCTGCAAAACTCAATAACTACAAGTAATATAACCAACCATTTTAAAAGAAAATTTTGGGAGAAAAGCCTAGCACGGTCTGAATGTTTACTCTCCTGCCAAAATCAAAAAAATTATACGACAAAATCTTTTATATTTGGTAAAATGAGGCCGTATTTATCCTTGGTGTGAAATGTGGCGATTAGAGAAGTACTATTGACTAGACTCAAAATTTAAAAGAAAATATTTTGAACTTTGTGACATTTTCAAATATTAGTGATTACGACCTCCTTTATCGTAATGATAAGAAAAATATAGGTTCTTTATTTCTATTTCTTCCAAATTATGTGCACACCCACCTCCCAACATGAATTTTGACCCGAAACAGCATATAGGCTCTAGGATAACCACCACCACGGTACTCACAGGATTGAATAGCACAGCAAAGATGGAGCCTTTCTTAGAAAAAAGTTTATATAAGGTTGCAACCTTAACATGTAGAACTACGGTCCTAAAAAATCCATCAGAAAAAAGTAGTTTTAATGTTGAAAAACCTTTTGATTGATCATCTCGACATCGAGGTGTATGACCATGAAAAATAAAAAGATTTTAAGTCTCAGAAACAATGCATTTTACAACATATTATCTACACCGTCCATTTTCAAGATTTTCATATGTTTATAGATCTACTTGATTTTAACCATTTTTGAAATTTAAAATTTTGTAATTAGACATAAAAATAGACTTTGAGATAGTCCTAAGAACATTTTACATCAAAATTATATATCATGATAAAATTTGAAGACGCACCTTACCTCTACAGCTACGTATGCCAACTACACCCTTCTTCTTAATACACAAGTTCGGACAAGGATTCCCAAAGCGGAGCCCAAAATTCCCTGCATCAGGTTTCAAATCAATTAAATTACTAATGCCATACTACTTTACAGATCAATTAGAATAAAACTTGGAAAATGGTGTTGTATCTTTGTGCTTCCTCGATAAAATCCCAATTGTTATATTCCAAATATATATAAATTTTTTTCATAATTGATGGGTGAGGATTCACTTGCCTACCCATGGTGGGCAGGGGACAACCATAACATATTAATTGTACAAAATGCAATGACGAGATCATCATCATCATCAGAGCTTTTTTCTAATTATTTTGAGTTACCTACTTGAATCCTCGTCCACGATCATGATCTATCAAAGGCTATACTCTCAACCACGTATCGTTGTACATCAGTGGATCAGAGAACCAATTCCACATGATCATAGAGTAATGTGGACATGCTATAAGACTTTAAGATGAAAGTAACATTGTGAAGTTCAACATGGGAAAGTGTACGTGGAAAGTTTACATGCTATAGCCACCTTATGTTCTTAAGATAAAACTAAACCCTAAAATCTAAACTGGAGTAATGAGATTCTTACACTGTAGGCATAGATAAAGAGGTTAAAGTCCCAGCCGAGCTTCCAACCTTTGGTCTTATCGAATATCAGGGCAACTATTGCAGACCGAAGAGTAGCAGATAAGCATACCATTGCAGAAAGAGATGCATATGCTGGATAATCTTTGAAAGCCCATGCCTGTTAACG